GACATGCAGAAGAGATTGGTGGGAAGCGATGTTTTTCACACTGGGAGGTGGTTTGTAGTGGCAGTCCAAGGGGTATAAACTCAGATGTAGGGAGCAGCGTCATAAAGTCTGCAGATCATTCAAAGCCTGGCAATGTGGTAGAGAAAAGGATAGTTGTAGACTTCAAGAATACAGGGTGGTGAAATGGACAGAAGGATTCCACATGAATTTCAATGCAGAATTGTTTGAAGTGTTGCACATCAGGAAAACAAATACAGAATGACATAAATAGCATGTTTTTAAAAAGTAAACCCAAACAGAGTCCTATATTCACAAATACTTAAAAGGTGGTAAGGCAAGACAATAAGGTGGCTAAAAAAGCAAATGGTTTACTAAGATTTGTAAACAAGGAGCATAGAATGTAAAAGTGAAATTGTGCTAGAATTTCATAAATCACTAGTTTGGTTTCAGCTAGAGAATTATGGGCAATTCTCAGCACCACACTTGAGCAAAAATGCAAAGGACTTAAGAATAGTGCAGAGGATGATCATCAGGGATGAGCAACTCCAATTATCATGAGAAAGGTTTGCACAGTTCTTCTTGGAACAACATTGGTGGCCAAATGTGTTCAATATGTCAACAAAACCGAAGAACTGCGGATGCTGAAAGTCAGACCTACTGATTTTCCCAACAATTTCTGTTTTTGTGTTCAAATGATGACTGGTAATGACAGAGTAGAAAAAGTCTATTTCATCTGACAAGTGGGTCAGTAATCTAAGGGCATAGAATTAGAATCAATGGCAAATGATCTAGAAAGGAAACAATCATTTCTTTCAACCAGTTTGGAGGTCTAGAATACCCTACCTGAATAAATAATGGAAATGGTTCCATGTATAATTCGATAAACATGTTGGACAGGAACTTAGAGAATGAAAAACTTACAGGGTGAGCAGACAATTGAGCACAAATGTTACTCCAGAGACCCAATGCATGTCAGATGGCCTCTTTCTGTGCCCTAATTCTGTGAAAAATCATGTACTTGAAAGGCTGAAGTGGAGCCAGCAATTTTGTTTCAAGGTACACTGCTTCTGGGCTCACTGCTACAACCAGAGTGGTCAACAACCACCTGAAGAAGCGTAGGGAGAGAAGGGATATAAATGGCAGGGGGGAAGGAGGGGTGGGGAAAACGACTGACCAGATATCTACCCCTATGTAAAGCTATGCAGAAATTTGCTGTATGTAAGAAAGGTCATTTTACTATTTTGAAGACTTGACTAATTTGGGGTTACTTTAGGATTTTGGGACATGGGCAGACCAATTCGGGATTAATACATGTGTTATAATAAATCTCTTACCAAATACTCTAGATCTCATTCTTTGTCTACACTAATGATAAAATTTACTGGTGCCTAGTCAGATCATAACACAAATTTGATAGTCCGATCCTGGATCGTAATCACACCTAGATATTTCAAAGCACTTTGGAGACAATGAAGTATTTTCGAAAATAGTTAGAAATGCAGTGCTGCAATTTGAAATCAAGATAATTCAGGGCTGTGATAGAACTAAAGGTACATATGCAATTTCAATTTGAGTACAGTAATATCAACATGTGTGAAAATAAAAAATGGTGTAAGGGAACTGTAAAAGGCTTCAGAAGGACATGTCACGCCTGTGTGTTGGTTAAATAAGGTAACTGATCCAACTTAACGCGGAAAAATGCATGTTTTATTTTGTTTGAAAACTGCATTATAGAGAAGTATTCTCATTAGAAATAATTATTAAACTCTGGAAAGTCTAAGTGGAAGCTGGCCAGTTGCAATATCGATCATCATGTTTCCTACATTGGGTCAGTGGCTACATTCCAGAAGTACTTTGTTGGCTGAAATGGGTTTTGGAGCATCTGACAGTTGTGAAACGGATTACAGAAATCCAAATCTTTTTTCTTACTATCAACTTGGCTTAGAAGTAACTCTCAGCTCCAAGTTCGAAGCTCACGGCTTCAAGCCTTTAAACAGAATTTGAGCACTACTTTAATGGTGTATCATCAAAATCATTCACATTAAAGCAGAAATCACTGTACTGCTTTATTTCTCTGCCTCACGTCTGTCACATATACATTCACACACAACCTGCGCCTTTTAGGTTGCTTTTCAGAAAGTGGCCAGGAGAGGTCATTATCTGAACTAGGAAATGGGTTTCAACAGCAACTTCACACACAACATTTTGTCATCCTATCTGAAAACATTGTATATTTGCTGTATAAAATGGCAGAATACTTTAAACAAAAAGTATCCCATTTGTATTTAATCTCTCTGTAAAACTTTGCATTTCTTCAAATTACTCTCTTTCCGTGATATTTTACTAATCATAATCATACATCAACATATTTTAAAAAATGAAATTAGTAACTAAAGTTCAACAGTCAAAATCTGTTTAACAGGTTCAGTTCAAGAATTGACAATTTTTGTTTTCCAATCCCAAGGAATATATTGGGTTTCTGGTAAACACTGCAGAGCTGGAAGTCAAAGAAGCCAGTTGACACAAGTATATAGATAACACATTGTGGAGCTGGAGGAATACAGCACGCCAAGGCAGCATCAGAGGAACAGGAGAGCTGACGTTTCGTGTTGGGACCCTTCTTCAGAAATGGGCCCATTTCTGAAGAAGGGCCGCGATCTGAAACATCAGCTTTCCTGGTCCTCTGATGCTGCCTGGCCTGCTGTGTTCCTCCAGCTCCACACTTTGTTATCTCTGACTCCAGCATCTGCAGAAACAAAAACAAAGTTCCTGGAAGAGCTCAGCAGGTCTGGCAGCATCTGTGAAGGGAAAAACAGAGTTAACGTTTCAGGTCCGGTAATCCTTCCTCATAACGCTCTTTCTCAGTTCTGAAGAAGGGTCACCGGACCTGAAATTTCAACTCTGTTTTTCCCTTCACAGATGCTGTCAGACCTGCTGAGCTTTTCCAGCAACTTTGTTTTTGTTCCTGATTTACAGCATCCGCAGTTCCTCCGGTATTTATCCAGCATCTGCAGTTCTTGCTATCTCTCTGACGCAAGTACATAATTTGAAGCTCAGAGCAACTTGCCTACGCTAATGATGCATTTTCTTTGTCAGGCCTCAAATTCATTTGATGTTGGCATGAGAAGTCACAGTTGTAGACAAACACACAATATGCCACAATACAGGACTCTTTCCAGATGACCAGTGCTAATGATACAACAGATTGCATTTATTTGGAATATCTTCTCTATTTAGAAAGTGAAAGTTTATTTACACATTTTTTTTGGAAAAGAAGTTCCAAAATTTTAGATAACTTTTCAGAATTTTTACATGAGTCATTAAAGATCATGCTGTGTGTATGCTTCTATATGAGTTCCACCTTACTGCTGTGGTTAAACTGAGATTTTATATCTATATATGTATGTATATATTTTTGCCACTAGTGTGCATACTTGGAGTTCTGGGGTGAACATAGGGTTTGTCTGTGTGTTTGGAGTTGACAATTGACTTTTGAGGGGAACGAAAACTACAATATCCCACACTTCCAAGCAACAAAAGCAAGTTAGGGAACTACCCAGAGGGCTTATGTAGAGAACTTTCCAGATTCAGTCAGCTTGTGCTGGGAGTTGTTCAAGAGAGAAAAGTGCATTAAGCTCCACAGTAATGAGAAATCATTTGATAAAGTAAAATGTGCTAAGCAACATTCGCAAGAAAAGGAGTTTAAAGTAATAAATAATCTTAATAACTTATTTTGTTAGTCCCAGGCCAGAGAGTTGGGATATAGTCAGTAGGAGCAAAGTGAAGATTTTTACAAGTTTAAGGGCAAAAAGAAAAAGGAATTGAAACTGTAGCAGATATAGTACAACACTGGAAGGAAACAAAGTCAGGACATAGTAATAATAATAAAGAAAGAGTTATCTACAGTGCCCAGCTGATGAATTGAAACTTTATTCACTTCAAGCCCAACGAGCTATTAAAAACAAATGAAAAACATTTTCAGAAATGAGCCGAGCTGGACTGGGTCTTGTTAAAAGTAAATTGCAACAATGTTTGGATGCTGTACTAAGGTGTCGTGATACCACATGGATTACTTCTACTGCGTTAAAAAAGTCTTTGAATCTGTGTGTAAAGCATAGAGTGATTTTGCCTTGTTTATCTTCATTTCTGTTGTTAACAATAAAATGAAACAAACATTTATCAAAACAAAGGCTGCAACTTGTATGCTTATGTTTTACTAGAAGATCACCTTGGGACTTTTATTTAAAATGACAATCTGTCCAAGACAATCTGTACAATCTGTAAAGAGAGTCAGTATGTACTATCTTTTCTTTTGTAGATCTGACAGCATCCTTGCATGTGCGATTAAAAGTGAAAACTAAGAAATAACCCATGCAATTCCCCTCACCTCCTCCACATTGCGTGCTGGTAAAGATCTTGTAGATGGAGATCTTAGAATTCTTTTGAATTGATACGAACTGCCATTTCTATGCTATAATCTAACATGTTACAAGAAGTTTGAATTACCCTTGTTGAAGGTTGTGTAATTCTGTTCTTAAAACACTGCAATCTGTCAAAATTATGATTAAACCACCTCTCTGAATCTGACAAATCTTGTAATTGTGGAAATAGCAAATTTGACTTGAACAAAACTATAGATTTTTAAAATAATGTATTAAATATTTACTATGTTCCAGCTTCTATCTCAATCCTATAACCTGTGACCAAATCTTTACTTGCTTTCAACAATGTGATTGAAGAGTGAGCGCGTGTGTTTTTTTTAGTCTCCTGTTTTACCCTTGACAGAATTCTTCATGTCATTTGCCACTTAGTCTGCTTTATGAAGTTGCTCTTGTTAGTTGCTAGAGATCTTAAATAGCTGAAGCTGGAATGAAATTAACAGTCAGGAAAGTGAAATTCAGGCCACCAAGACCATTAGATCTTGAGAGCACATCGTTCTTGGAAGTCAGTTGCAAGAACCTTCACTTCAGCTCTGACCATACAATCTGGACACAAATCTGTTACTCCCCAATCTTCACACTTGGACAACAATAATAACTACAATACATTGCATCAGAGACCAATGTCTGATGCATGTTTGTAGTACTGGAGCTCTACTCAAGACAAAATAAAGATAAAACAAAATTATGAATATGAAAAATAAATCAGTAAAGGTAAGATCAATAGTTTACAAAGAACTGCGGATTCAGCAAGTCTGGCAGCATCAAGAACGCATTCTGAAGAAGGGTCACTGAACTCAAAACATTAACTTTACTTTCTCACCACAGATGCTGCAAAGTCAGTACCTGCCTGGCTATTAAAAGACTAAATTTATTACCTTAATTGGACGTCTAAAATTTCTATAAGTCAGTAGAACCGTTAGCCTCAGAAAACCTTTTAACTGATTGAACACTTGTACTTATTCTGAACCATCCAGCATAACTCTGTAACAAAACGGCTATGGCAATCAAACTTTTAACTCAGCAAACTGACTTTGCCACAGGTTTTAAAATGGGACTAAAGTATGTGTTACCCATCTACTTTTTTCACTAAATCACTGAACCACTGAATTAAGCTGTAATCCCAATAAACTATGGTGTGGGTTAACTAATCATTGAATCGCTTACAGTGCAGAAGCAGGCCATTCAGCTCATTGAATCCAGACGACCTTCTGAACAGCATCCCACCCAGACTCATTTCCCCCTAACCTTATTCTTGGTAATCCTGCATTCCCCATGACTGATCCACCTAACCTGCACATCTTTGGACTGTTGGAGGAAACCGGAGCAGCTGGAGGAAACCTGCACAGACATGGGGAGAACATGCAAACTCCACACAGTTGCCAGAGGGTGGAATCGAACCCAGGTCCTTGGCACCGTGAGGCAGCAGTGCTAACAACAGAGCCACTGTGTTACCCTTAATGATCTATATCACTCACTTTCCTGCAATTTCTTTCACCATAATGCAGCATGTGATACGAATAGGCTGTGACTTGCAGAAACGAAAAGAGCACATGCACAAATAAGGTCCAGTGAACTATCCACCTGGCACCTTTATTATTAACAGAGAGCACAGATTTAATAAATGTTAAATTCAACATTTGCAGTACTTGGCCATTGTATTAATTTAAAATCATCTCTGTGCCGAATGATGCCAGGCAGGAGATAGGGGTCATTTATTGTGGGTTCAGCTCTCCTCAGAGAGATGTGGTGGCTCTGAGAAGAAACTTTGACTTTAGATTTTTACACTTTCCACTTTTATTTCTTGGCTGCAGGCTTCTTCAATTGTTTACTGTCCTTTGGTTTCTTCACATTTTTCATTGCTTTCCCCTGGGTTTCTTTCTTGGGCAATTTTGAAGGAGCCAGAATCACCCTGTCCCTTTGTCTGCACTAGGGAGCTTTCTCCACCTATTGCCTGATCGAGAACCTAACCTCAGACCAGAGCTTCTCCTCATTGACCCACTACCAGTTGAAGCTACCTTCATGGCAGCCAGACAAACCTCTTTGTTATCGCTGCAACCTGCCACAACGTTATTGCTGATTTATAGTCTGAGTAAATGCTATAAATGCTAAGAGTAACCAGTGCCATCTGCACATGCATAGACTATAGCCATCCTGACATATACACTCAGTACCCAATAACCAAGGCAATTTTTCAGCATATTCAGGCTTATTTGTCTTAAGCAGAAAGGAAAAAAATGAATTTCTTTCAGAAAGCAGCTAACAAATCATTTTAAACTCGCAATGTTGTTTATTTGCAATTTTTAAGGAAATCAATATCAGAGATCTCATGGTTTACAGCAGACTGGAGCTGTACATCTGCCAAAGTAATGATTTTGACAGGAGACGAACATTCAAGAGACTTCACCTGTCTTGTATGACATAGGAGATTAAACCAGCTTTGTCTTACTCAATTTCTACTCCAAAAGGGCACATTGATGATCCTCGTTAGCTGTTGTAAAAGGTATACCAGGGCAGAGGAGCAGTGCAAGGAAGTAATCAACTCACGTTATTTTATTGCATGTCCCAATAGCAAAATTATGTTTTTTTCTCTTTAGTGGACACACTAGTGAAGAAGGGAAGGCAAACATTTTTGTATAGCATTTGGAAATTCAAACATTGAATTCAAAGATCTAGAGAGTGAGGTAGAAGAATATTTCAGTGGAACAGAACATTGCTTAGTTTTCTATATATCAAGACCACCCCCACTTCCTCCCTCAGGAACAATGAATTCCTTAAGATTTAAAGGGATTAAAGACATCAGATAATTGAAAAAGAAACAAGAGGAAAATCCTTTGTTCACAAGGACAAGGATGTTGCGCTTGTATGCAGTGGGATGCTATTGTTATGCAATTCTACACCAGCTGAAACATTGGAAACATTTCTTGAAAACATGAATGAAGTTATTACTGTAGTATGTTGCAATCCTGGGCAGTTTACAAACAAAAACACACACAATTTTCGAAAGAAGTATTTGCTATTATTTGGTACCTGCAGGATAGCATCAATTCGATTCCTCTCAGCAATAAGGAACTCGTTTTCTGCATTACAGGTCTGAATAATTTTATCCCTGTCCTCTTGTTCAGTTTGGAACCTCTGGTGATCATCTTCCCTTGCTCGTTTACAAATTTGTAGAGTTTTTTCCAATTCCTTCACTTTCTGTTGAAGTTCTGAATTTTGCACTGTTAATTACAAAAATGGAAATTAATTTAGATACTACCTTTATAAAGCATTTACAGTTTTAATACGCAGCGTAGCAAAATTGCAAAAACACAAATCATGTGAGTAAAATACACATGTTATTTACCAGCTTGCATGTGTCTATCTCACCATTTATCCATTGATTAACTGGTGATTTTGATGATAGTTAACCATTTGTTGAGGAATTTCAGTAAACATTAACAAGCATCTCAAAGATTTCCCATTGAAATCACTACATCATGCTGGGATAAGTAATCTGACAGACTGGAATGATCAAAAGGCTGTAATTTCATTCTGCAAATCATTAGCAAATTCAATGTGCTGTTATACCCTTTCTCTTCAGTGTCTCAAGTGTGAAAATACACACATTAATAAATACGGATTTTGCTTGCACATGTGAAAGATATTACTTTACAGTTAATGGGCAAGCGCTGGTTGTAAAGCAGTCAAATTTCAAGATCAACCTGCAAACTTAAGACCTACAAAAATGTATTTGTTATTACTGAACAGTTTCTGGTGTTCATACAGGCAACACAAGTGATTCATGCATCACAGCAATGCAGCAAATTCAATGAAGCAGCATATCAGACCCAACTGGGATCAAGTAAACTATTACATTCCCTGTTTATATTGAAAAAGATAGAGGTTTCAATGAAAATACATCTCCCATGCACAAAGGAAAGAATTTAATGCAGGTATTGGGTGCCTTGCTCACCAGCTGGGCAGCTGATGAGGACCTTTCATCACTTGTAAAAAGGGTTAGCACATGCATTGAGTGTTTCTCAGGCTTTGTGCTCCTTGATCCCAGGGAATTCCCACACTTGGCAGCCATCCACTACAATCATCACCAGCAAGATCTGTGGCAGCTGGCAGCAATGTACTCAAGATTGCGCCTAGGATTGCTGAATGACCTGAGCTACAGATGAATTATGGGGACTGTGAAATGGTAGTCAGAGACAGGGATTTGAGCCTCAGTGGGTCTCTCCTTCGTAATGCCGGATCTCCCAGACACCAAGTGCATTTAAATGCAAGAATTCTTGCAGCCAAGATGCAAATAAGACAGGTTGGCATGACTTGTCCAGATTTAGGTTGAGGAAGAGGAAAGAGTGCATTAACCCTAATCTATCAAGTGCCACCTCACCTCAACTTCACCCTCCTTGCCCTCTACTTCATGAAGGGCTTTAATTTTCACCCAAAGTGTTTCTACAACTGTTGGAAGTTAAAGACTTGATGAGATGTTCAATACAAATCTAACATTTGTTGAGAAATAAGAATCATCCAGCAGGAGTTTCTAGAGCCTAATTTCATAGCCAAGGTAGGAAATTATCTTTCAGAACTACCAGGTCTCCTAGAGCACTGTGCAGTGAGTCAGTGAATGTGTTCATCATGGAAGGAGAATATACTGTGATAAAGGCCATACAAGCCAGTGGAAGAATTTGACAAGTTGGTTAGGAATCTCAGAGTCATAGAATCATACAGCACAGAAACAGACCCTTCGATCCAACTCATCCATGCTGACCAGGTTTCCTAAAATGAATTAGTCCCATTTGCCTATGTTTGGTCCATATCGCTCTGAACCTTTCCTATTCATGCACCTGTCCACATGTCTTTTAAATGAGATTACAAGAGTTCAGAGACAGCATGTTCCTACTCAGGTGAAAGGCAAGGCTGGTAGGCATAGGAAATGCTGGATAACTACAGGAATTGAGATTTTGATCAAGAAGAAGAAGAAAGCATGTGTCAAGCACAGACAGCAGAGATCGAGTGAATCAGGTTGTAGACATGCTCACTGAGCTGGTGGGTTTGGTTGCAAACGTTTCGTCACCCTGCTAGGTAACATCGTCTGTGTGCCTCCAGTGAAGTGTCGATGTTCTGTCCCACTTGTTATTAATGTGCCTCTGTTTGCTGGGGTGGTTGGTATTACCTCTGGTTCTGTTTCTCAGTGGTTTATACATAGGGTCTAATTCAATGTGTTTGATTCACACCCCCTTACCAAGTTATAACAAATGTAATCTGAAATTGGTGTGCAACTAATTTTTTTTAATAATTTATAAAGATACTAGCTGTACAATGTGTTGTATAAATTACTTCAGGAAAAAGGCTTTAACACCTTCTTATAATTTTTTTCTGGAAACACAAGAATTTCAAGTACCTTTTAATTGTGCATGTACTTTATGAATAGAATCTATTCTGTCTTCTGAAGTACATTTTACAACACTGGCTTCCTTCTTGGCCACAGCTAGCTCATACTCCAGGGTCTGACGCAGTGCCTCTCCTTTCTCCAGCTGTGCTCGCAGTCTAGTAACATGGCTTTCAAATGTTGCACGCTGTGAAAGTGAAATGATATTAACAAAGCAATGCATTTTCAAACTTTAACGTGCAGCATTATATTTGCTAATACTGAATCAGAATGTTTTCTACAGAAATAGTTGGAAAATATTGCAACAGCATGGATGAAACACAAACATGCTTGCACGGTAGAATGATATATTCGTGAAATGCAAATATTTGCTGTTTTGGTAAAAGAAAACTATGTTGTTCCCTACTCTATGCCCTATGTCTTATGTTCCACAAAACACACACTGAAAGAACAGTACATCTTTTATTTTCTCCAATTTAATCTCCAGGAGGTCTATAGATCAAACATTGTAGGTATTATAAAAGTTAAGACAGAACACGAAACAAAAGAGAAATTTCAAATGAGTCAATTCATCATCCTCAAGGAAGCTACATAATATTTCAGATTGTCTATTGCTTATTTAAGACTACAAAATTAAAAGTAGAGATCAGACTATTAAACGGTAACACCAAACAACCAGGAACATTATCGAACAGTACAGCACAGGAACAGATCCTTTGGCCCACCATTTATGTACCTACTATAATGTCATTCTAAACTAGACCCACCTACCTGCATATGGTCTGCATCCCTCTATTCCCTGCCTGTTCATGTGGCTATCTAAATGCCTCCTAAACATCACTATTGTATCTGCTTCTACTGCCTCTCTGGCAGCGCATTCCAGACATCTACCACACTCTGTGAAAAAACTTGCCTCATTCATCTGCTTTAAACTTTCGCCTCTCAACTTAAACCTGTGCCCCCTCATGACATTTCCACCCAAGGAAAAAGACTCAGACAATCCACCTTATCCATATGTCTCATAATTGTATATACTTCTATCAGCCTCCAGCACTAGCATAAATAATCCAAATTTGACCAACCTCTCCTTACAACTCATGTACTCTCATCCAAGCAACATCCTGGTAAAACACTCCAAATAGCAGTGACCAGAAGTGCATGCAACACTCCAAATGTGGCCTGACTAAAGTTTTATATAGCTGCAATATGACTTGCCAGTTTTTGTACTCAATGCCCCAACCGAAGAACACCTTCTTTACCACCTTATTCACTTATGTTACCACCTTCAGGGAGCTATGGACTTGCACCCCAAGATCCCTCCATATGTCAGTGCTCTTAAGGGTCCTGCCATTTTACTGTATGCTTTCCTCTTGCATTTTATTTCTCAAAATACATCACCTCACACTTGACAGATTAAACTCCATCTGCATTTCTCCATCCAACTTTCCAAATGACCTATATCCTGCTATATCCCTTATCAACCTTCCTCACAATCCACAACACCAATCTTCATGTCATCTTCAAACTTACTAATCAGCACACCTATATTTTAATCCAATTTATTTAAATAAATTACAAACAGAAGTTCCAGCACTGATCGCTGCAATATCAACTTGTTTCTTCACAGGAGAAATATTTTGTTCAATGAAATTTACCAATTAAACACTTAGATCCATCTCAATCTCCACCTTCCATAAATTTCAACGAGACTAAAAATTTCCAAAGATTACACTCTGTACTGTACTAAGCCCTGTTCTCTAATTCTCCTTATTCCTTGACCTACAGATCCTCGAAATCACAGTCTACAAATTGTACAGTTAGTTATGTCACCCTTCACCACTTTGTTCCCTAACCATTCCACTTGCTTAGCATTCTGTGCATCTCAGTCACACTCCACTTTCCTCCTTCATGCCATACCCTTAGCTGCCTACAGGGAAAATAAAATTGTCTCTCAGCCTTAAATATATTCAGCAATGGAGCATTCATAACCCTCTGCAATCAAGAATACCAAAGGTTAACAATCCTTTGAATGAAGAAATTTCTCATCTCAAATTGATCCCTTATTCTGAGATTGTGCCTCAATGTTCTAGATTCCAAAGCCAGGGCAAACAACCCCTCAGTGTAAACCGTGTCAAGCCCCTCCAGAATCTTGTTTCAAGAGAACAGCTCCTAACCTTCTAAAGTTCAAGGAATATGGGCCCAACTTCGTCAGCCTCTCATCACAGAGCAACCTCTCAATGCTGGGGCCAACCTAGCACAGTTTTGCTGTACTGCCTCCAGTGAAAGTATGTTCTTTAAGTATGGAAGACAAAATTGTGTGCAGTACTGCAGGTATGGTCTCAAAACCTTGTACGATTTTAGTTAAACCCTCCTTAGTTTTCTACTGTAATTCCCTTACAACAAAAGCCAACATCATCATGCATTGGTTCACTGCTCACTTATTTCCTCTTTCCAAATGTCTTGGAATTTATTTTTTCCTGTTAAATGAAAACATACTGTATAAAATCAATGCCATGAGACAATCCCAAGATAAAGTCTGATCTTCAAACGTAGAAGATCCAGAAAGGCCACCCATGCAGAAACCAATATAACTGGGAAGATCAGCAAATAGAAATTAGCAGAAAGATAATTACACAAAATTACAATTTTCTCCAATTCACACCACTGCCTGTGTCGTGCAATAAAGGTATTAATTTCATAAAAACAAGACATTTTTACAGATAGCTCTGCAAGCTTACCTCTTCATTAAATTTGCTACTTAGTTCTACTTTCTCTTTTTCCAATCTGTTCAGCTTCCACCTGAGATCAGTAGAACTACTGTCACCATCCCCAGGTTGCAACTGTTTCATTTGATTCTGGAGTTGACTAATGGTGCTCTGCAATCTAAGTAAACATTGCAAAATAAAATATGTTTCTATAATCTGAATTACGGTATCTGTAGATGCATCAGTCTGACAACATATGAAATTGTAACTAAAAGAAATATGGCTGCTAGTTTACCTACATCAATGTCACACAACGAGCAGAGATAAATGAGCAGATTGATCATGGTTGTGAGAGGCTAGTTTAGAGATAAAAGGGCAGAACACAGCAGAACCTCACTTGTTTCTTTTCCACTGATGCCCCGAGACCTTCTACACTTACCCATATGGCAGGGAGGTTTGTTTAATGTCAAATGAAGGATTAGAGTTAGGATCAACTCCAGTTGAAAAATTAACTTTTAATCACGTTAATTCCCAATCATATATTAAGGAGATTTTTTCAGGGCATTTTTATCCAGTCATATTCGAAACACTACTTAAAAACACTTAATGTCCCAAATACCATCTGATCATTTATATTTTGTTTCCCAAAGATGAATGCTTAGTTGTCTGACCAGCAATACCAACTTGCATGAATCACTACAGATGCATTACCTCTCAATATCATTAGCAGTAGAATGCTGCTTTTGCGGTGAAGTCAGTTTGGGGATTAAATTCCTTGAATTTGCACTGGCTCTCAATTGAATGATCTGGGAGCTGTTATCCGTCCCTTCAAGGGAACGTCGCACAGGGTCGTGCAAATCGGCTGCAGACATAACTTCTTTCCCCCTACATGTTTTAAAACCTTGAAGAAAACAGAAATAAAAATGTCCCGAGATTTAAAAAAAAACAGCGGATACTAGGGAAATCACTCGCGTGAGAAATCTTGCCCGCCTTCGTGTCGAAATTGCCTGCATAAAGGAACACGTGAAAAAATTAATCATAACTTCAAATTCTTTAAATAAAAGTTCGATTCTCATTTCAACCAGAGTTTGTTCTGGTTAGCGCGAAAAGAAACTCAAACTGAAACTGAGGAGCTATTCTATCCGAGCTGTGAACAGTCCAGAGCCAACACGTATCCACACTCATTTCGGTTAGTTCAGGTTAAAAAAGAGGGTTAAGAACTCAGAACCGGAGACAGACTTACTGCTCACTTCTCGGCCACCAATGAACTCTCCCCGGCCTCGCGACCACTTCGTGCTGGAGAACACGGAAAAGGTCATGTTTGTAACCAAGGACATTGGGCTCTCACCGTTGCTGAGTCGAGAAGGAAAGCAGTATCAAGAAACAGATTAATGGAGATGCTAAGCACAAAACTGTTGTATGGTATTATAAGTGGGGGGAGCTGGTGCAGGATAGCACCAGAGCGGTGCACAACTATTGCGTTTCAGTCGACCATTGTGAACAAACACGCCCGCACAACCCTGTAACCCTGCCAGATGCAGGTCTGCAGATTAAAATACTCAAAATCCAGCAATGAGGTCAAACTGGCCACATTTGGAAAGGCTCAAAAAACACAATAATAGAAAGGAGGTAAAGGGCACCGCATGGGCTGGAGGTCTACCATGCAGAAAGGAAGTGATTAGGGAAAATGGTTGCTGGGCAAACCGTAGGGAGTAGGGTAGGGGTGTTACACGGGCAAGAGGGCATCCATACAGCAGAGGGGAGTGGCAGCCAGTGGAGATCATATAGACAGGGACGGTCTAGGGACACGGGTTTCAACTGTTGCAGCACAAACTTTTCTAACCACCCCACGTTTAGGGCATGTTCCACTAAGAAACATAACTTCCCCAATCCCACCTGTCTCTCTTCCAACAGGGATGCGGGATGGAGTGTGAGCCGCCAAGAAATACACTAGGATGAGGAGGTGGTACAGGCACAGTGACATATTATGTTACATGCTCGGAAAGATGAGTTCAATTTTTACACAGCAGCCTAAATTTAAACTAAACAAACCTGCAATAAAAAGCTAGCATGAGCAAAGTTTCACCTAACGTTAAATAAAAACCGAAAGAACAGTGGATGCTGTAAATCAGAAACAAAAGAAACCAAATTGCAGGAAATCTGTAGCAGGTCTGGCAGCATCTGTGGAGTGAAATCAAAGTTAACGTTTCCTCAGTTCTGACGAAGGGTCACCGGACCCGAAACGTTAACTCTGATTTCTGTCCACGGATGCTTCAGACCTGCTGAGCTTTTCCAGCAATTTCTGTTTTTGTTTCACCTAACGATACTTCACTCAGCAGAATCTATTTTTTGGACAATACAGTCCCTTCAAGATTGCTGCTCTTAAATGCACTGGAGCTTGTACACTTGGGCACTTTTTCGTGCATTCCACGCAGCTTTCTAGAAGATATTGAATTGGTGTCTATTGGATTGTCGTGACAAAAACCCATTTTATTCATTACTGTCATTTTGGGAGGGATAGCTAAATCGTTACACAGTGGAGCCTGTACATGACCTGCAGGTCCATACCAATGCTGTTAACTCTTAACTGTCCTCACAAAAGACATATCAAACCACACAACACTATCAAACGACTTTGGAAAACGAAAGGATACTACCTGATACCAACCTAGAAACCAGATTTGACAAAGTTGAATAATCTTGGTAGAAACCAAATTTCTGTTTAAATCTTGCTGAACTCCCAGTCATTAACTGAAAGTATATCGTAACATTTCACACATTAAACAAAAACTCCCGTGATACGAGTAGAACAAAACACGTGCCGCTAACTTTGCGTTATTTTGCATGAATACATACTTTAAAACAAAATAAAATTGACAGAACACCCCTTATTCCACCCAAGAGGTCTCCTGCATTTAGACTAATCTTGAGGGTCCTTGCAGTTCTACAACTAAGATATGCCTCAAGATTCTCAAAAGGTACAAAATTTCTTGGCATCCTTTCACTAGCACTGTCAATGTACTCCAGCTCTGCTTCATAAGACATAGGATATGGGAGCAGAATTAGGCCATTCGGGCCATCAAGACTGCTCCACCAATTTCTCAACTCCATTCTCCTACATGCTCCTCCTAACTCTTGCCAATCCCCTTGCCAATCAAAAAATGTCTCTCTCTCTGTCTTAAAGACAAAGAATGATTTGACCTCCACAGCCTTCTGCAGCAATGATTCAGCCTGTCATGTATGTGGACTCCCCAGGTGAAATATGGGCCTCACTGCGTTCTTGTTCAGGTGAGTTCAAATCAGAAAATACTTCTGAAAGCCCTCTGCAACTGACTTACAACTCTGGTGGATTCTTTCTTTGCTCATTTCAGAGTTGCACCAGGCCCAGACTTTATCTGCCTTTTTTCATACGGAATCACAGAGATGACCCAATACCGAAAAAAATCTCTAAAATCATGGAACTAGCATCCCTGGGATACCCCAGCAATTGATTTAAAATAATTGTCTCCAACTTCCAAACTTTCCCTTGGTTCTAGGAAAATCACAAATAATTTAAACCACTTATTGAGGCACTGTAGACTCTGTCTCCAGCATGAGGCCCAGTGAAGGGTCTCCTATTATTTTGTTGTATTCTCATTTATAACTCTAACTTTATAAAACAAAGAGGCCACCGTTTGATTTCTAATAACTTTGAGTCTGTTTACCGGCTTCTCAAAAGAAGGTTTTCCATTCCAGTTGCATTTAAAAGTGTCAATCACCGAGTTAAAAAGTTGTATGCCTAAAACATATGAATCATAAAATAGATATTCAATAGAAAAGGCACATCCAGCCCAGTCAAGTCTACAAAGTCATCCTGACTACTGTGCCAAACACATGCTAAAATCGTAAGAGGTGCCTCACAGACTAAATTAGGAACAGCTTGACATAGCCACACTCTCAGAATCATATCTTTCAGAGTTTTTCATGACCCTACCCAAGTGTGCCCTGTAACACTAGCAAAACAGGTCCAGTAGGAGGGAACAGCTGACCCCAGAAGTCCTTAAAATTGACTCTCAATCCTATGAAGTCAAATGATATCAGACCAAACATCAGCCTTCCTGCTCCTCTGATGCTGCTTGGCCTGCTGTGTTCATCCAGCTCTACACCTTGTTATCTCAGATTAGCCAGCATCTGCAATTCCTGCTATCTAAGGAATCCTGCTGTTGATTACTCCTTACTGACCTCATTCAGCTGATGAATTGTTACACTTCCACATTGAACATCACTGGGTAAAGGCACCGAGAGTAACAAGGCCAGTCTAAAGTCATTTCAATTCACTCAAAAAAAAACAGCACACTGAATTACAGCAAAGACTCTGAGTCCCAACAATATCCGGCCTATAGTGCTGAAGACTTGTGCTCCAGAGCTAGCTGCATATCGAGCCACTTACCTGGATAAACTCTAACGACACTCAAGAAGTGCAATACTATCCAAGAAAAAAAAGCAGCCATTTGATCAGTACACTACGACCTTAAACAAATATTCACTCACTTCAGCACCAGGCTCTGTAGCAATAGTTTGCACCATATACAAAATGCATTGCATCAGCCTATCAAACCTTCTCAGCACCTTCCAAACTACATCTCTACCACCAAGAGCACAAGAATTAGGAGCAAGAAAAGGCTATTTGGCCCATCAAATCTGCTGCCATTTTTTTAATGTATGACTGATCTGATTGTGGCCTTAACTTCACTTTCCTGTCTGACTCTCAGAACACTTGACTTCCTTGTCAATCAGAAATCTTCTAAATCAATTTTGCATATAAAGTTTGAGAAGATTTGTAGCTCGGGTTGTGGATTAGGTTGTAGACATGCTCACTAAGCCGGTGAGTTTGGTTGTAAACATTTTGTCACCCTGCTAGGTAACATCGTCAGTGCATTTCTGGCGAAGCGTCGTTGTTCTGTCCCGCTTGTTATTTATATGCCTCAGTTTGCT